TTTAAATGATCTACTAATTTCAAGACAACATCATGTGGGCTTTCAATAAAAACTCATATCAAATTATCATCTGAAAATGAAGGACATTTTTCATTAAAAATCACAGTTAATCTAAGCTTGGCTGTTTTATAATTAAAAAATAATTTAAAATGAGTCCATGAAACACACAAGTTGCATTACATTCACAATGCAATATTTTTTGTCCAAAACATTAAAATGGCAGATGTTATTTAAAGTACAGATGAAATGTCTGCCCAATCACAATGTATATTAAGTAGCTAGAAATAACAAATATCTTATAGGCAGAGTTCATAAGAGTTCCATATTAATTAAAACTTCTTGTTTACAAATAAACGTGAATAAAATGGCAAAAATATTCATTATTAAAAGTATATATGAAACAAAAATCTTAAAATATTTGAACTTTTTAACACTTGAACACAATATTTTCTCCATCTCTAGCAGCATAAGTAACATGCATATAATAACCATTAAACTTATTTTCATTGACAAAATGAAATTGCAATAAAAATTTTACTTCATTCAATACACTTCACACTGTCTGAAAGGAATATGTGCAACTATAATTATGAACATATAATTTACAACTAAATAAATATATGGGTTCTTTTGAATAGATGTATAGTTCTACATTAATATAAATTTAAAATAGAACTTCTTTGCAATTCTAAAAATGATAATTGAAAGTGATATATTTTAAAGATATATGAAACAAAAAGGTGAAAATGATAATGTATTAAAGGATTTCATATTGCAACCAGGGATATCTACTGAAAGTACAAGGCACATTTCACAAGCCTAATAAAGGAACTTGATCTTTTCAGAACACTAACTTTTTACACTCGCATAATTATCTACAATTTACAATTCTACATACAGCTCAAACAAATAAGATATCTTAACTTTATTACATCGTCTATGACAATGTATTTCCAAAAACTTACTTACATACATGATTCTTAAAAGCTTCAGACAATTCAATAAAAATATATTTTAAATATTTTGACATTAAGAAGCATTATTAAACATATATAAAGAAAGCAATAATCTCAGAACTTTGATCAAAGAAATGAGATTTTTACCCTGATGAATAAAATGTTATGAACCATCATGTAGAGATCCTAATCAGGATGATTCTTATACTTTATTATGATTTACAAAAGGTAACAGGCTAAATTTCTACCTAAAATATGGCAGCTATTAAAAAAAGCATTTATATTAAAATCACTACGAATTCTGAAAAATCAAAGCAGAATACATGGTATAGCACAAGAGGGGGAAAAAATTCAGAAATTCTAAATAATATTCTATTTAATAAATAAATATTTGCATAGATGCCAAAAGACTGAAAAAGAAAAGGATACATAATAAAATATATTATAGAATTCTGAGGATTCTAAATATTAAGGAGTAATATAAAAAACTTGATTATAATCACAGGATATATAATACACTGATCTGGCAAATATTTGCTGAGTAAAAAGTAATTAAAGACAGGCAGAGTGCACAGAATAAATCAGCCAAAATTATAAAAATCTCATTCAATAACAATTTTCTTGAACAGCCAGTCTAGCCTGTCAACAAGATATATCTTAAACCAATTTACATCTAAAATTTCAACATTACGAAATTCGATTATAAAAAATAAGCCTATTTATATCCATTAACGTAATTATTTACAGAATAGAATTACAAACTAGGACTTTCATACCAAACCAAAAGAAAAATACAAACCTTAAAGTGTATGTGCTATGAATAATAAAATACACACACACACACACATATATATATATATAGAATTATATTAATGACTAGGATAGGAGATAACAGTATTTTGAAGTATAGTGTAATACAATGTTTTACATTACATATGCTATGCAAATATATTTATCAACTAAATAAACACTATTTTTCACTTAATAACAATGAAAGATAAATTTTCAAAAATTAAGAGACCTGAGAATTAAGTTTAAAATATCTCTAATAATGCTTAGTGTAATACTTCAAAAAATTAAAGCATAATATAGCACACATATATTCTTATCCAATTAGCAGATTAAATATAAAATCTATGACTCTCGATGAAGATGACAGTTTATTATTTTGATGAACATCACAAGTGCGGCTATATTTTAAATGGTGGAAACAAGCTTTTCAGCATAATGTCTACAATGCCAGATCCAAGTCTAAGAAAATAGGTTATATAATTTCTTTTCTGAAATTAATCAATTTCATTAAAGTTTATGCAGATATGAAGACAAAAATTTACAGCAACATGAATATGAAACAACAGACATTTTCACGGGCTTATATCTTTCTATCAAGAGCATATGAAAGATATAACAAAATGCAAAATAAAATTCCAAAAATACTTGTTCCCTTTAATTAATGAAATGATATTTGTTCCCAATACAAGTAAAAATCCTTAATTTCTTCACACTATTTTCCAATGACATCAGTATAATTCTATACAGTTATTCAATTTAGATACATGTGAAGTAAAAAAAAAAAAAAAAAAAAAAACTGATATGTCACTGGATACAAGCTCATTACAAAATTATCATTCTGAAAAAAAAAAAAAAAAAAAAACCTCCTCTCAAGGGAAAATGCCAAAGGAAAGCCTATTCAAAAATATTAGAGCTGCCAAATAATTTAAATTTCACAGGATAAAAAAAATATAAATAGCTGACAATTTTAATCAACCTTTCATCTTTAATAAAATTCAAAAACATCATTTCCATCAGATGTTATGAAAAGTATAGAAGCAAGTTCTATGAGTAACAAAAATTACAAATACACATTTGCTGCTGATTATCATATATGACAAATAAAAAGTATACTGAAATTTTGAAGCACTCAAAATAACTTTTTCCAATAAAAATATCCTATTAAAATTTAGTGGGATTAAAAAAACTGGTATAAAATTTAAACTGTTTTTTTATACAAGAATCACCTATCTCACGTAAAATAAATTAATAAATGCTTATGCTACAACTGAAAAGAATGCCTAATTAAAGCTATGCTGGTTTACAACAGTACTACAGAAATAGGAATTCAAGGATTACCAAGATTTTCTATTGATTTAGTTTTAAAAGATTCATTATTAACTGAGGAACACAAGAGATGCCCAATAAAAGACGGAAGAAATCTACACCCAAATTTCATGTTACATTACTCAGCCAAAAAATACTTAAAGATAAGTGATGAACGAATCAGATCATTTAAACAGTGGTGTAGTAAGCTTAACTGCCCCCCCCCAAAACACAGTAATATAATGTACAGAATATATTAACAAGAAAATTATGCAAATAATAATAAAATGCTGAATCTGCCATAAAATACTCTAAAATATATTAATAGTCACTACCTAACTACACTAGCATTGAATTCGGAAATGCATGTGTCGGCAGAAAAATCAAACATACGATTATCTAGAATTAGTTAAAAAAGTACTTAATTTACATATTTTTATAATTTTTTAAAAAAAATGTACAATTTTTAAACAATTAAAAGTTTAATATATTTTTAGATAAAGGAAAATTATAACATTTACAAAGTTAGGAATATGCAAATTTAGTTTGTGACGTCGAAAACTACGCATTTTAGATGAGTAAGGAGCGACCTGCAGCATTCCTTTTGTAGTAGGAGATTAAAAACAATTGACAAGTGTTGAATGCTTTGTGGCAGTGACTATATGGTGTCTCAACAAGATGACGTAGTTGAATCAGTAGCCAGGGAGATCATCAGTCTTTTACAGGACACTTAAATGCAATCCATTGTAGCGGAAGCGTTAGGAGTCTTCCAAAATGTCATTTCTGGAAACTGGATATGTTTGAGAAATTCGGGACAAGGTCGCAATATCGTTTTAAAATAAAAAGCGGGAGCTATACGTGCATTTTGTTTAATAAAAATATATCTGTATTTTAGGTTAAATAAAGTGGTCAAAAAGAATATTTCGTATGCGAAGATATTTGATTGATGTACTGCAAACATTTTATCAGACAAATCAAGAAAATAAATAATTAATTATATTACAATAATCATTAATTTTAAATATATTTACCAGAAATCGATCAAAATAAAAACAGAAATTTTCCAGAAAATCTTGATTTAAAAACTTAACATGTGAAAATGTATGCAATTAGAGAATTATATAATTCAAGACTATTTTTTAAAGCATAGCACCAATTTAATAAATAATGAAAACACCATAACAGTTATTAAGAAATAAGCACAAAGCAAATTTCTATAAAGGAAAATTCTACTAGGTGCTTTAAGTTCAATTTATATATCCATTCAGCTAAACATCACAAACACTAAAAACATTAAAATATAATTATACCCAATTAGCATTTTTTGTACTGTATTTTTTTATATATGAATTATTAATGTATCACTGTGAGCCCACAAACATTAAAAAAGCTTAAATGATATTCAGTAACATATTCAAGAGTCTACAACTTAATTATTTTTACTGTAAAAATATTCAGTGAGGGCGGAAGACACAACAAGTACATATTCTGTTGTATCCCTTAACAAATATTTCAAACAGAACAAATGACAGATGTATAAACATAACATTAGTAGCCTGTTCTTAATACCTAATATTTCGATCAGATTAAAAATTTAATCAATAACTTGATATTACAAGTATACTGAAAATGAATTTAGCATCAAAACTTTTGCAAAGCAAAAAATTCAAATTATGTTTGTAATCCAAGGATTGCTTACAAAATCATTAATTTTTATCAAAATGGATAATTTCAGATACAATAAATATTATGTTTATTCATATACATTAGAACATAAGTAAATTTTAACAAAAATATGAAAACATGCACTACCTTTTTCAATAAAATACTAATGAATCTAGTATCTGAATTATTCTGTTATTTAGTTAAATACATCATAAATGAAAAAAAAAAAAAAAAAAAAAAAAAAAAAAAAAAAAAAAAAAAAAAAAAAAAAAAAAAAAAAAAATCGAATTTTTTGGACATTTTTATGAAGTTATACAATATATTTGATAAATTAGCTGTCTATAACATAATCCTTCACTGTTTAAGTATTAAAGACCATAATAATTATAAACAAAAGTAAAAAATAAAACAAAGATCCAAATCATGAATTGCAACATAGTTTCATTAGTTAGATAAAGTCAGGAAATGCTTTTTATTTATTTAACACCATTAAAATGTCGCATGCCAAATGGGAAAAAAACAGTATATGAAAGAAATTTACTTTCTGATATTTTATAATCAATTCAAAGAATTTACATAGTAAATTTATACATTACAGAATTTTTAAACAGCCTCTAAATCTCAGATACTATATTCTTATACACCCTAATATGATGAAAGAAAACCTAAGTATGTTTAAACAACCTACTTTTTTAAAAATATTTCCTATAAATTTTCATAACCAATAATCGGAATCAGTTTAAATTGAAATAATGATGACAAAAAAAAAAAAAAAAAAAAAAAAAAAAAAAAAAAAAACAATTAATTTACTTCTCCAAGATTTTCTTTTTCTTTCCCTTTTTTTTCGGAAGGGGGGGGCTTTTTTCTTTTGTTGGTCTAGTAGCAAAAGTTTAAACACTGCAAATTATATACTTTCAAATAAGAAACAAAACATACTTTACATAAATATAAATCTCACAAAGGTATATATATATACCAGCTTCTAATTAAAATTAACAAAATGACAGATGTATTAAAATGCACTTTTTATATTTCAACTCTTATCACTCAAGCAGCATTTCACTTACGGTACAAACTTAATGACGGAATGAAACTAGACATTGTTGATGTAATAATGTACTTAAATCCTTCTAAAATTGAGAAATGTCAATGTTGAGATTTTCTTTCTTTTAAAGTATATTTACAAAAGTCCTTATGAGTATTTACAGTTTAACTTCCCAGATCATTACATGTGCATCAAGGCATGATTTTGAATCATGATCTTTCACTGGTTTACGCCAATTGATATAGCCACAGCCACCTGTCAACATTAGAACAGTCTTTTGAGTGGAATCCGTAACAGACTTTGGTACTGACTTATATACTGTTCGTCCTAAAGTAACTTGCGTAGGTAAGTTATGAGATTCTTCACAAATTTTCTGTACAGGAGAATGAACTTCTTCAACAGTGGATTCAGGTGAATGAACACTAATTTCAGTAGTAGCAGTAGACGTTGCTGTAGAAGCTGTATCATAAGCAGCAGAAGAATCAGAATCCTCTGACACAGCCATGGTGGATAAATCCCAAGACCTGGGACGACCAGACTTCTGCTGAACCCTAAAATTATACAATTCAATTAGACTGAGTAAAATTTTATTGTATTAATTTTTTCACTTTCAATTTGAAGAATTTCCTACGGTATTACTAAATATTGCAATAAAATACAACCTTATTCATTTATTCCTTAGAGAAAGAGTCTTAAATTTGCAACCTCCATAGACGTTTTTGTGCTGCCCACAAATACATTTTAATTATGTCTTTATTGTTTTGGAAACAAAGATATAGACTGAGTTTATGAGCACAACCACTATTCAAGGCAGGGGGGGGAATAAAACAAACCACTATTCAAGGCAGAGGGGGAATAAAACAAACTGGTTTGTGCTGTGTCTTTGTCACTGTTATGTCAGGCCAAGTGAGAACGTAATATGAGAATTTTGGATATTAGTACAATCAGTAAATTTAGTTTGCCAGCTAACAGCTGGTCGTGCTTCAGTATTCTGAAACTACTAGTTAAGATTAAAAATCAGTAATTTTAGTGGTTAATTCAACATACTGGAATTACCTGAAATACATGCAGTCTCACATTTAGTATTTAGCTATCAGTGCATTTCAATTACAAAGTAACCATTAAAAATTTCTTACATGTACCAAACCTTTAAATTTAAAATAGTAACTAGTCTTCTTAATATTAGTCACTATGTATACAGTATAAATGAAGTAACTGATTAAAGGACAAACTTAAAAGACAAAATTGCAGTCTGCATTTTCAATACAGTAGAACTGTACTAATGTTTTTATTTTCCTCACAAAATTTTTTATAGCATGATCTATTTCAGTAAAGAAGTAAATGAGAGATATGCAATATTCAAAACGAAAATAAGTTTTAACCTGTTGGCTTTATCCACTTCACTCCTGCAGGGATATTTTATAAATGACAAACTAAAGTCATAATGGTAGCGCAAAGTATATAACGTTACACTGCTCAAAAGAATTAGGAGAGCAAGCAAAAAAGTGAAAAAAACCATTGTACGATAGCTATGCTTGGGAATAAAATGGAGAATACAGGTATAATAAAAAGATACAGGGAAAAAAAAGGAGCAAAAAAACAATTGTATGTGAAATTTAATTCCTTGGAATGGCAGAAAGAACATGGCATGATGCTTCAGGGCAACAATTTTGTTACATGTAAATGAAAAAAACTTATTGTTTGGAAATGATGCAGTATGTTTAAAATGGCAAGTGGTCCCCACAAACTGCTATTGGCATGGATGTGATGAGGTTATCGATGAGACCTTGGGGGGAAACTGTTCCACTCCTGAAGAAATGGGATCTCCAAATCTTAGACAGTAACAGGAGGCCTTGGTCTTGCAGCAATGTGTCGTTTGAGTGTGTCCCAAACATGCTCGATCAGACCGAGATCAGAAGAGCATGCAGGAAGATCCATATGCTGTACTGTTTCCACAAGACAAGTTGTATGAGATCTGGAATTATCCTGCATTAACAGAAAGGTATTACCAATAGCTGCAGTGTAACGAACAACATGAAGTCTCAAAATCTCATCTCCATACCTTTAACTATCAAAGTGCTTGAATGATATATAGATATACGTTCTGAATATACAGGTTCGTATATCTGCTCATGCTGATTCCGTCACACAACCTCATCTGTAATGTGATCTTTCTTGAACGAATATAAGGTTAAGACTGCTCCTCTCGCCATACCAAAATGTCTGGTGTCAGTCTAAACTGAATCGGGATTCATGTGTGAGCACCTGACTCAATCACTTTGCATCCAACCTGTTCAGCAGCCCAACTTCTTCAGTCTGCACAGCCTTTTGCTGTCAACTGAATATATACCACAGGCCTATGTGCATACAAACCACCCTCATGAAGCCTATTTCCGACTGTTTGGCTTGACAACCTTCGTATGTTGCCAAGAGAAACAGTCTTTGAATTTGCCACACATTGGCTATTTTGTCTCGACGAGCTGTTTACTGGATTTATCGATCATCATATGCTGTGGTACCATGTGGACGACCTTGTCCTAGTTGATGTCAAACATGCTGTTTCTTGAAATCTAGTCCACAGCCTTGCAACCACACTTCTTGCCACTCCCACAGCGTCTGCTATACTTCTTTCTATTTGCCTGGATTCCAGTCTCCTGATAATACGCTAAGCCATGGCTTCAGGAACATCACATTGTCATGACACTTTCTAGTAACCTTTCCTCATAACAAAAGCCGGAAGATGGAATTTCATTGCTGAGACAATGAAATCACTAGCTTCTACCAAATCCTAATTTCTGCACTTATATCCTTTTTCTGGTTTTTGATGTCATGAACACTGATTTACATACTGAAGTTTTCTTCTTCTGTTTTCTGTTACACCTTCGACAATGGATGTTTTGTTTTACATTAATTATCAGTAGCAATATTTGTGTGATTTCGTTAAAACTATGTACTCCCTTAATATGTTTTAGCAGTGTACTAGGTTGTACTACACAATATTATTAAGTGTTTATTTCAAATTTTAACCATACATGTATTAATCACAGGATTTCTGCAATCTGTCAGGTACCTTAATTACAAAGAAAAATTCTGAACTCATCAGCTTCATACTACATTTAAATAAATAGACAAAAATCAAAGTTCTCAAAAATCAGTGCAAATGATAAATGTAATTTATAGAAACAGATGCAAACAAAGCAAGCATGAAGTATTTTTTAGGACTGATTAACATAAATATATATCAATAGGCTGCAACTTAACATGGAATGCAGAAACATGCAGTTTTGAAAATTAAGACACTAAACATGAAATGAAATTACCAACATTAACGAACTTTAAGTATAATTAATTTCTTAAATATTAATTTAATTTTTGTTCTATATTCATTTCTTGCTCCAGCAATAATTTAAAACACCTCTTATTTTGGAAATAATGTAACAATGTTACACTCTTGAATTAGCATACCAAAATGTATAAATGCAAAATTTAGATTTCATATTCAACTTAGTTCACCAAATTTAGGCTAAACCTGTCAGAAACAGATAAGAATGACTTAACCAATTACACATACAAATATAGGGCTAAATTCCTGTTTTTTTTTTTTTTTTTTATTCAATTTATACAAGAATGGAAATTTTTAATAACATTGCGGACAGCAATTGCTGTGACGAGTTATACATCAAAAATGCCCTTTAAATTAAGCCCTCTGCAATAAAAGACAAGCACCTGCAATATGTGTTATATTGCAAGCAAAAGAAGAGCACATATGTACATGTTCCATGCGGCTAAAACCTTATAAAATACACGCCTTTTTAGATCCTGTATAAAATGGCTTTTACACAGTTTTGAGATTTGTTCACTTAAGTATCCCATTCTTACCACTAGATGACGAGCATTTGGCATTCCTCCCTTTTCTCTCTCTGACAGAGATCTGAAAATGAGACTGGATTTGAATGCATTGCAAGTAGGGAAAACATAAAAAAACCCTGCATGAGGAAAACCAGTTAAAATATAATTATAAGTGACTGCTGCCTTCTACCAATCTTGTAAATAGTGTAATTTAGTTTTTCCTTTGAATAAAATATATGTTATGACAATTTTGCTTCTTAATATGCAAAAAAGTTCATTGGAGCACCTGGCATTACGGACAATGAAGATAAGGTAAGAGAATTTTATATTACTTTTGATAATAATGAGCCTGTGCGACATTTGGTATGTATACCATCTCATTATTCAAAATGTTTTATTTTACCTTCTTTTATTATCCGACACTGGTGTCCAAAATGAAAGTTACATATTTTTTGCAATTACTCAGTTTAAAAACTGATGTCATACATAATTTGCGAAGTTGTAAATATAAAGTAAACATTTGGTGGCAGTTAAAATGATAGGTGTTTTTTCTAGTTCCCCCCCCCCAGTTACTAGTTTCTGAATTTGTGAAATTTGCCTCTTCAAAGCAAAATCTTAACTGACTAGTTTAAGTTAAAATGTGCTTTTACAATTGTTTAGATGATGAATGGAGATGATGAAACAATGATAGCCTTGAGGCTGGCAAGTCTCACTCAATTGTTCCCAAGTGCCACGAACTGTGGTATCCAGGCAAGGCACAGATTCCAAATTATGGGCACCATCTCCAGGAAGCTCAGCTAAAGCCATCAAAGAGACATGACACCAGCAAATGATCAATACATGGTATTAAATGCATATTGCCATTGAGAGATGAGGCTAGATCTCTGGAACTTGCTGCAGCGTATGGAACAATATCCAGGCAAACTGTATATAGACCCGTAGCAGAAATGTCCCTGTTAGTCCTATATTTCCACCTCAACAGACTGCAAAAGTGAAACAGTCTTTTACGGAGCCTGGCATACCTTTCATGGACTCGACAAGATTGGGGCATGCACTGTTCAGTGATGAGTTATGATTCAGCACAGAGATTTTCTATGAATCTTCAATTAGAGAAAGCCTGGAGGCCTACCATCATATCTCTAACATACAAAAAATTGACCTTACAGTAAAAAAACCAGAGTTCTTGTAAGGAGAGGCACCATGCTGAGTGACTGTACACTACTGCACGTCTTCAATACAGGCACTGTGACCACACCGCTTTACAGAGATCAGATTCTTCAGTCTTATGTAAAGCTTTTTCAGGAAGCTGTTGGAAAGATTTTTTTTCTGGATCAATAAATATGAGGCCACAGTGAGTTAAACTGGTTGATGAGTTTCTGTGAAAGAGGGATCTGGCCAGTAAAGTTGCTGGATTTATATCTTAAAACAACATGTTTGGAAGTCTTTATAAAGAACCATTAAACAATGTCAACACTTTTCCAGAACCTCCTCACATTAAAATCCTTGCTTTTAGAATAATGTGATTTATTTCCTCAAGCTATTATCAGAAACCCCATTCACAGTATAAGGGGTCGATACACTTCTTACTTATTGACCATGCTGAAAATATCATATTTTAGATATTTTAGTTTAATATGCATATCAGAAAGCCTTTACTATCTGTTTATTTTGTTAATACTGTTGGTTGTCTCATAGTATTGGACATGTACACGATATTTCATTAAAATAAACCAATACTTTTTTTGTGAGAGTATGTTTTGCATTAATAATCTTAAGTTTTGGATGCCAGAATAAGTATCATCGTGATGAGTGGGTTTATGAAAACAAAGACAAATAAGTAATTAAAACAAATCAAGCCAATACTAACTGTTTGAAAACAACTCTTTATGAAAGATCCAAAAACCTGTGAAACTAAGTAGGTGAATGCTGTTATTTTGAAGCATTTGTATATGTTTCAAACAGTTGCAGGTAATCAATACTTAAATATTGCTTTAATATGAATAAATAAGCAGAATATTAAAGAAATAAAAAAAGATTTACTTTAAATACCCAGATAAAATTTCCCAAAAATATAAATTATCCTAAAATAAAAATATAAATGAAGCAAAAGATAATACAAAAAATCCAATTGTTTTTATTCAAAATTTTATCCAAGAATAGATCAGCAACACAATTATCCCCCCCCCAAAAAAAACCCTAAGTACCAACCTAGTAGTATCAATGACAAAATTTAGCTTTTCTTAATAATTCTTCTGAACGTTTTTGCCAACTAATGATTTTTAACCATTATGGTTCACAAAATGTTAATACTTAAATCTTGTCTGATTTTTTCTTTATGACTCAAATTTTTTTTCAAAACCGGCATCAAGGTTTCTAACAGATAACTCACAATTTGTTATTTCCTTTTTCAGCTAGAGATACTAAAAAACTGTTTACAAAATAAATTTATAGTCTGAATGCATGAAGTTAACAATTTCCTCTTTAGTTCAAAACTGAAAACTGCAAATATCTATAATGTTTCCTGAAACATGTTCAAGAATTCCTATGAAGGGAGCTTTAAAAAAAGAATAGCAAAACAAGAAACTCCATTGTAAAAAAATTAAGAATATAAAATTCCTATTAAATTATTTCATATTCTGCCTTACATATCTGTTACATCATGAGTGAAAAGATCATAACATTTTGGCTAGATATTGAAGCAAGGAGATAAACCACTGGTCTGAATGCAGCAAGGAGCTGATAAAGCAACGAAGGCCATCAAAAATACAAGTTGAGCATGCACATGCTATGCTGGTTAACTGCAATGATTATCCAAAAGTAACATTTCAAAGGCGGAGGTCTCCTTGTAAAATTGTGTATACTGTGGTAGGAATAAAACAGTATTATACTTTATTCTACTCTGGTTTTTCCTTGAGCTAAACAGAGCTAAGAATGCCCCGACATTAATCAAAGGATGTACAAAACATTTTAATTTCGCAGAATCATGAAAAATCAAAAACAAGTACTCAGTATCTTAAAATAATGTTGCAAGTGTGAAAATGCAATCTGATAACTTTTGTTTGGGGCAGTTAACCAAATTTATTGCACAACTTAAAAAAACTATTTCTCCCATGCTTTGCCATGACTATTGGGTACAATAATTTTTTAATTATGCATATCTTTCAATTCTAAGCCAATTTTCAGTGGCCACGGATAGTATGATTTTAAAGGTTATTTATCAAGGAAATTTTCACACTGTATTTTCTCTGACATTCCTTTTCATTACGATTTTCAAAAGAAATGCAAGCTAATAGTAGTTCTTTTGGTACTTCTCTGCAATCAAAACTGGATTCAGAAATGTATGTATGTATGTGCACACACACGTTTCTGAATCAGGTTCTGATAACAGAGAAGTTCCGTTCCTTTCATATACACTATAGAAATCTGCATTATTTAATCCAAAGTGGCACAACCAACTACTACATTCAAAACATTAAGTAGCCGAAATAATATCAACTTGCATTAGCTTGGAGAACAAATGTTCTCTGATACTTTCAAAAATGGTTTTTACAGGTTAATTAATATTTTATAAGAAACTGAAAAATTCCATTTAATCATAGATTAATTTTACAAAACTGGTAAACAGTTTACTAATTTCTAATTTTACTCATTAAAGTCTTAATATCAACAAATTAGCTTAAAAATATCAGAACTTATTTAAGAATTTATTAGTGATAATATGCAATCAAGGTAATCCTACCATGACAAAAGCTGACACACAAATAATTAAAAAATGGAAGTAAAAATAGTTCAAATACAAAATAATGAATAAAAATACACTAACCTTCTATCTAATGTATTAAGGTGAAAATGAACTAATTCTGGATCACTATGATTAAGGCGCTCATACAATTTTTCCTGACTATCTTTTTCATAATCTTGAACATTCATCAAATCAGCATACAGACCATAAACATCATTTGACTCTTCCATGCTATCCTGAGGAGAAATATGAGAGCATAATGACATTCCACGAGGAAGAGTTTTGGCTCCAGAAGCATGGATATCATCAACATTCGGTCGAGATCCTAATGGGAAAGAAATAAGTATTCAATTTTTATGACTTACACATTTCAGCCAATACAGTAATAATGATAAACAAGTAAATCAACAAATTTCTCTCAGATTTAGTGGAAAAGCATGTGATACTGCTTTCATGCATTTATTTTATTTTGAAAATACAGTACATACTACCAACCCAATTAATTAAATCCAATTAACTACAAATAAAGGGAATATTTCTGTTGGTTCCAACTAACCATACATCTTTGGATATTTCTCATAATCTTAGAATTTTGAAAGAAGCTTTAGTGGTGCTGTAGGAAATATTGAAATTAATATCAAATAAATTTAATAAAATGTGGTATGTGATAAATGCAAGGGAAAAAATGAGGCTAAAAAACATCTCACTTCCAATAATTTACAATTTTGGTACTAAAATAAATTTAAAAGAAATTAACATCTTGTAAAATTATGATAACGGATTTAATGCTGGAGGATAAAAAAATTCAACAATGGGGAAAAAAAAAAAAAAAAAAAAGATTACTAGTTACTCTTCAGCTAAAACATTAACTATTAACAGATTATAAATAAATCTTGATTGCTTTAAAACCATAACAGTACAGTATGGAGGTAAAATAAAAAATAAAAGAACTGAATACTTAAATAAAACCATTATTTATTAAATGACATTAAATACCTGGAAATTTTTTGTTATATACTGGAGATGGCAAAGCAGAATCAGAAACCTGCTTTATTACTCTTGCTCTTGGAGAAAGACAGACTGACTCTGACTCTCCATCTGCACTTGCAGGCCTTCTTTCAGTAGATAAGCTAGTAAGAGACATAGCTTTTGGCTGCAAACTGAGCAGTAACTGTACAGGCCCTTGATGTGCATGAAATGCCAAACTTACACGTCCAGTTATAATGGGCACACCTTCTAAACGAGGAAGAGGAACAGTCAATATTATTCCAACATTTGTCCCAACCCAAAGTAAGCCTTTACTAGCAAGAAGAGATGTGACATAGATCATATGGGGGGATTTTTCTTTCTCTTTTGCTGAAAAATAAAAATGATTCCACATTAGAAGGACTTTCAATTATGAAAATAAAATTAAAATATTTTAATTTACTTACCTGCAAGTATTCTGTTGACATTTGCAGCAACATTGATATCTTGCAAATGGCGAAATGTTTCAGTATGATATAAACAAATTGTGGCAGAATTTTTTAAAGCAATCCACAAACCAGTTCCAGAATGAGCTAAAATATATGCCTGTCCATCTCCATCATGATGAACTGAATAATTCCGCTGTGAGAAATATAAAATTATATTACACATTTAACAATTTATATGAGCAACTTATTTTAAAATACAGTACCTGATACTTATTAAACACACTGGTTAATAAAATCAGCTGCTTATTTTCACATTTCCAAGAAACAAACCAAATAAATAATAAGCAATAGATAAATCACCTTTATTAAAATCGCCCTCATTTTTCATAAACTAGAATTTGCAAAAGGTCGATTCTTTGGTGCAAGAAAATCCTATCAGTGCCTGTCATAGCTAATTTTAATTCCTTCATTTAACTTATTGAGGGCCTTTGCTAATTGTTTGCTTCAATGAAACAGGTTTATCAGAAATTTTGGCTGCATAGTTCTATGAATATCTCCTTCTATTAGAGTTCTGTCAAACACTACTAAGCTTTTTATCCAGACTGGTAGAATTTCTTTACTTAAGATTAACAAAAGCAGTCCTCTAGCAGGAATATAAAATGAGCGAGTGGTCCTCAGGATTAAAGAAAAGATGGTACTTAAGAGATCCCTGTTAAGTTTTTCTTTTTGAATGCCAGTTGACAGTACATGATAGGACAGCCTTTACATATTTGCGGGGTATTCTCATAAACTTCATGATATGCTTCCTTGCATTATCATACGTTATCAGTTTTTAATACAAAAAGGAACAGTAGGTTAAATAAAAGAAAGCAATGGTTATACCTGTAATTAGGAAGTAACTGATCAACCTAACAGATCTTTCTTCAATTTTGCAGCCAAAATTCAAGTACAATCTTTCTTCTGGCTAGACATGAACTTTTTTTTTCGGAGGGGGGGGGGGAATTCTGAAAGTTTTCAAATTTTATATTACGCCAAAAGGGGCATTTTTTAATGTTTTGTATGTTACCTTTACTTATTAAATATTATGATATTTGCATTTAAATCATAAAATTCAACAGCAATATCATAAAATATTTAAAAGAGTATTTCTTTAGAATTTCAGACACAGTCTTGCATGCTGGAGATCAAAATCCCCACCCACACACACACTGTTGCAATTGCTTGCTTTGAAATCACTGAGTTTGTTAATAAAAAATTTTTTGATGTTTGACAAAATATGAAATAGATAATAAATTCCAAATTTGGGCTTCCAGATGCTCATATTCGGAGGGAAGACTGCGTTACTCAAAATTTGATTTCTCTACGTACAGTTGTTTTTCACAGTGCGAGAAACATACATAAATTCATGCAGATTCTTCATTACTTAATTTCTTTAAATATAATACAGGTGGCAACAATTCAAAAAGTGAACTGACATTTATAGTGAACCAACGCAAAATGGCAAAATGAAATTAATAGCCCTTCTGGTCAAACTGTCCTTTTGGGTCTTAAAAAAATTAAATCTGTCATTTAAAATTTGCCTAACAAAAATGAAATGGAAAAAAAAAAAATAATTATTAGGGACTTCATCTACTGCAGCTGTTAATACCATGACTATAAGCTACGCTGGGGTAGTGGGATGACCTTATAGGGCCTATAGACCATAGTACAGTCCACAAGACAGTGACTTCCGAGAGTATAATTTCATTAGGCAGTAAATCCTTCAGAGTACTCCAATAAGTTTATATGGGATTTAAATCAGGAAATTTTACTCACTGTTTACTTGATGTGGATGCAGGTTATTACAAATGAACAGCACATCACACTTGCATGTACTTCTAAAAAGTAAGAAGTAGGATTGCAAGACTTCATCTGGATCTGTAAATTTGCATTGTGTGGTGATAACACACATTACAGTCGTAAATGATGAAAGTATAACTACAGGCTTGAAGTGCCTATTTTAAAGTAGCAGATTATAGCTCTCACCAGATACAAATATATTTAGAATCTGAAGCCAAATTGAACTTCAACATATAACTGTAAACAATACAGGCTCAACATAGCAAACTTAAGTTTATGGTTTCTTCAACAAAAGACTGCCAAAAGAGGGCCAATCGAATAAATTACTATTACACTGAGTCCACCTCAGTTTCATCAACCAATCCCTGTATTCATGATGATGAAAAGGTAAATTTCAATATATGTAATGATTTTGCAATTTAGTTTTGAGATCTAATGGCTGTATTTTGTGTCCAGAGTTTAAACTTGTTCATCCCAGCATATTTCATTGTAAGCACACGTTCACATTCAGGGAACTCAAGGTTGAAAGAGTTAATATAAATACTACCCTACAACATATATATAGCTATAGCACATAGTTCTGTGATATATATAAATATTTTTTTGAAAACTAAATCTCCAATATCTAACATTAGCCTACTACAATGAATTTTATCAACCAAAGTGATTATGCTTTTAGCACAAGGAAGTTTTCTATGTGTATTAGTATATTCAAAATATCATGAAACAAGTAATTGGCAGAATTATTGTTTCCTGAAATGGAAGAATTTTGCATGGGTCTCCCTCAAAATGCATAGAACTTTACATTTAACTGACAACAATTTAAGGCTGCCCAGTTTTAGATTTAACACTCTTAACTTTTTATACTAAACTACACTAACTTTTTTATATTTTATTTTCCCTACAACTATTTTTAATATACTTTTCCATTTTCCAACAAAACTTTCACCAAAACAGCAAAAAATGCACAATAAGGTAAAATTATACATTTTAAGAAAATATTCACCTGAATATCAGCTGTGAGGGAATCCACTACCCATATTTTGGAACCAGATGCACAATACATAGTTAAACCTACTGGTAATAAACATGTTACTGGGGACTGATCTAGTGCAACAGTTGTTGGATCTTGCAACAACCACTGGCCATCTAAATATTTAAAAAAAAAAAAAAAAAAAAAAAAAAAAAAATTAAATTTTTTAATTGTGACTTGAAATGTCCTACTCTATCAAAACAAAATAATCAAACTATACATTAAAAGTTTTGCATCAGTATCAAAAATAATTTTTTGTCACAGATATAGAGCAACATAAAAGAAAGCATAAAATCACAGTAAATACAAACTTTAAAAAAGAAAAAAAAAGTTTCAAAAAGGTTTTTGTATTTAAAAGTTGTCAATGAAACACTTACCACAAGCATATTAACTCGAGAGCACGCTCTTTTGAGCTACATGCGAATGCAGACCCGAGTCCAAAAGACCCAGCTTGTGTTTTTTGAGGAAAAAACTGTTACTCTTCAGGTAAAACGCTTACATTTATGTCAAAATTTTATTTTCTTCAATATTTTTAATGAGATAAAATTTTTTTAAAGGAACAGAAAAACATTATGTACGGAAAAAATAGCATACATTTCCTCTGTACTGATTCTTTACTTTATTTATTATCACCATAGACAGAGAGGAAAAAAAAAAATGAAGCAATTAGCAACACATTGAACAGAATGTTGTCATGTGTTCCAGACATATATACTTTTCTCATTTCGTGCATCGCATTTTGGTTTTTGTCCTTTTTTGCTGGGCAAACACTACATTTTCCTTTTGTTTGAGTTTTTTGTTTATTTATTTATTTATATATTTATTTATTTTTGTGGTTATCCATCATCATTATTTCTGGAAGCTGCATGTAATTTTGCTCGTTTCTCGATGGGGCTCAATGTAAGAAATAAACACCTACTTTATATGACATCAGAGGATTTTTGGGTGACAAAATGAGTATCCTTGCATTTATTGCAGCAGTGTTTAAAATAAAAAAATAGAAAAAACACTGCCATAGGCCACCTTTTTGATATTCAGGATGTAGTATATGAAGCTGACATTTCATCAACTATGTCTACAGCCCCTTTCGTAAGGTTATAAAATGTTACAATTTCAGGTTTCTTGCATTCACATGTTTCATTATGGATTGCATTCTCATGATGCATTGTTGATAAAAATTCACACAGTTATTATTTTTTTCAGAAACATAAGAAACCAAAGTTGTATTTTTTTTAAACTGAAAATTGATGAAAACACTTCTCGAAACTTCACTTTACTGGAAACAAACTATGTGGGTAATTCTCTTTTTTCAAATTGTTACGACAATAGTTAGCTTTTTTTTAGCAGATTGTAAATCGTATACCAATTATCTGTAGTGATATTTCGACACGATCTATAGAGTTTTTGGTACAGTCTTTTTATGATTTCATTGGGTGAGATTTTTACACAATTGAGACCTTCTGGTGGCAAACCTGGATAGATTTCCAAGTTCCACTTATAAAAAGTTCTTGCATCAACTAGCACAAAAACTTTTATTCCATATTTCGCAGGTTCATTAGGAATATACTACCTGAAAGCACATCTTTCTCAGAAAGCTTCAAGTTTTTCATTGTTATGAACTCACTGATAGTGCAATATTTCTATTAATTAAGTTATTGACAAAATCTTTAAAAAACTTTCTTATAGATGCAAGTTTATCCAATTCTTTCCTGATGACATGAGTTCCTGTCATCAAAATGAAAACATCTTGATGAAAAGAGAAAGCGTTCATAGCACATAGTTTTGTGGAAAATTTCCAAGCCGATTCCATGTTGCCCACAGATCTCACACATTTACATAAGATGATTAATGAACACAACAAAAATATAAGACATATAAAAACGCAAATTTCAACTTGTGTGACGAGCATCTCTCTCTCTCTCTGAAAGTTGTCAGAAATAGATGCAATATAAATATTTGTATAACTGATGACTTTCAGCAACATTTCTTCACTTAGTAGAAAGTTCCCATGATTCATTTGCCATCTGCACATATTTACCGTTACCAATGTTTCCAGGCAATTTAGTAATAATGTTATGAGCAGACATTCTAACATCTAACTAAATGTCGTTCTCATTTTTCTTTTCAGAATCCATCTCGATTTCTGAATCAGTATCATGAGAACTAAAAAATTCATTATCACTTTCATCATCGGTTTCTTCAATGGATTCTTCACCAGTTGATACATCTAATAATTTTTGCTAATGTAAAATTTTTTTCCTTGCAGGATAAATTACGAGACATGTTTGCAGCTTTCTGTGCTACCATAAATGAACTACGCAACAGCAATGCAAATAGGTGCGCTGAGTCTGAAAGACCCGATCCAATAAAAACAAAACTTCGAATCAAATTTCCAGCAAAAAACTTCGGAAACATAAAGAGCATGACCTTGGAGAAGACTACTTTGAACCACTACCACTTGGGAAAAATAGGGGTGTTTTCAGAAAGCTTTCTTTAATTGGGCAGTGCATGCACTCGGGGGGCTAATGGTGCATCTAATACTGTGAGCAAATAATTTTACATGGTTATGTTATGTAAATGTTAACTGCTAAAAAGATAACTCAAATTTTTAAAATAATGTTTTGTTTTCAGAAATTAATGTTGAAGTCCCTTTTTTTTACACTCATTGTCAGTTTATTATTACAAAACATGCAGCATGACCTATGGCAGTTCTGTATGGCAATTGTTCAAGCATGGCAAATAGAGTTTTCAAGTTTTACTTAAAATTATGCAAAGTTTAAAAAGAATCATTTCAAAACAAAACACAGAATAAGAAAGCAATATATTATTATGATAGCTGATAGTGCTGTATACACTTGATATCATAATTTAAAAATACAACTTCTCGTAGAAATTTTGTTACTAATGTTTAAGTGTGCTCAATTCTAATGCTCACAAAATTTAATTTATCACAAATTAGAGATTTATGGCAAATGATATAACACTTATATTTTCCCAAGGATATCAGCTCAGAAGCAAAATACACTTGATATAAATTTACATATCCTCCTACAAATTGGTTGTTTTCACATAGTTTACAGTATCTGCATGAGTAACTGCAGAATACAAACTTCTGAAACATGGGCATCCATAACCACTTGAAACGAAGCAGTAGAAAATGTGTGGTTTGATTTGGCTACTTAATCAAAATGAAACAGGCTGTCTACCCAGAAAATGATGCCTTCAAGGAGAAAACTGATAAGTAGGCATTTCACTTGGAAAGCCAGTCAACAATGCAGTCAATTCAATATTTAAAGTATAAAAGGCTCAAAACAGTATGTTAATTACCATTTTTCTATAAATGAAATTATGAAACGTTGAATTATTATTTAGTGACATGAATATTAAATCAAAACCAACTTTTTGTAAAAGCAGAAAACATCTGTAAGTAAATAACATTAATCTAAACTAAAACAAATGCATATTGTGTTGAAAAGAGATAAAGGCAAATGGCACTGCTTTGCAGTGAAATGAATGTAAACAAGAAAATGTTTTGGTTTATATTGTATTGGCAGGCAAGCATTATGTAATGTAGTAAAGAGTAAGGAACCGAGAATTGGTTCATTTTGCAATATAATAACCTTTGTTAAGGTTGATCTACCTTATAACAGGATAAATGTACACTTTATGTACATAAAATGATATAATAAATGTTAAAGAAAGAACAATCTGTTCCCATGTTGACTGAATGGACTAGCCACCTAGTGGTGATGTTTTCATTGGTGCATCTCATGACATATGCTTCAATTCGGATAAAAGAACTGTAATTCGTGCATGATGCAAAGTTAACTACGGATACTAATACCACATAATATTGATATGCCCAGAATATACCTAAGAGTTAGGTAAGAGCATGATTAACATCAAATTTCAAGAGTATTTGATTTTAATTTTGACAATTTACAGTCATGGGTACATTTAGGCATCAAGGCAAAATAATGACCAAACTACATAGATTAAAATGGAAAAAAACTGCATGGATAACAAGTTTCTAAGCTGTTAAATGAAGTTGAGGACGGTTTAGCAAAGAAAGCATACAGGTGAATTAAGCAAATTGTTATTAGAAAGGAAAAGTAGTCTGAAAGAATTAAACGAGGCAATTCTATAACAAATGTTAATTTTTTGGAAGCGGATGTAGATAGTTCTGAGGAACGGGAGAAAAACTCTCAAGCTAGTAAATGAATTAGTCAAGTGTTAGAAAACGTGGATAAAACGAGTATTAAGGATCATGAGTCATGGTTAGAGTGCAAAATATACAAAGTACTGTAAAGCTTTCAAAACTAGAGCCAGAAAAATATTCAGGTGATCCTAAAAAATTGATAATAGTTTTGGAACAGCTATGAAAGCACTATAGATGAAAAAAGTCTTAGTAAGAGAGAAAATTTCGCATATATGAAATCACTGCTCATAGGTACCATAAATAATATAGCATTTTCATTAGAATTAAACACAAAGAAATGTACCAAGAGCTGTGTTTTAATGCTGTTCATAATCATGCATATATCTTCTGAGATTAAGTTCCATAACTTATTTTCTTGTGATAAAGCATTAAAGGAAAATTTTATAAAAATTATATAACAAAAATAGATGTTTTGTTTCTGAAACTTTTACATTTGGAGGTTTTGTAGAAATAAAACTAGCTGCTTAAAATGAGAGTTTAAATTGAACTATTAGGCGATATGTACAAATAATTCAAACCATAGCAAAACACAAATGGCTTCAAATCAAAATATATAAGAAATCATGTAAAAAACAAGAAGAAAATTTCATATATGAAAATCAAAACTCCCCAAAAAAGCACATGCTGTTATTACATGTAATAATTTATGTAAAAAATGCCTTATTGCAAACATGCTCAGTATTAGCTCAAAATGATGGTTGTTGTGAGTTAACTAATTTAATTTTTGAGTATGGTGCTAGACTACATTTTTTTCATGTAAGTATAATGAAGAAATAAAAACTAAAAATTGCTGGAGAATAACAAGTGTCTATTTTCTTTCAAAAAGAACAAAATGTAGGTTAGCTGACACCACTACAGCCATACGAATGACCATGCTGTGGGAAAAAAAAAAAGAAT